CCAGAGGAATGACTTTCACAAGGCAACATCAGCCATGGCGTTTACATTAGGTATTATTCCAGCTTTATGACGGCGGTCTGTAAATAATCGAGTCTGGACCAGACAATCCAGTGATTGATATCATGAGCATCGATCCACGCAATTGGGATCGATGACATGCATCAACCAAGTCAGCGTGCCTGACCACCCTATCCCGTTAGTCGCCTCTTACGACAAGCAAAGTCGCCTTTTACGGCAAGCATGGGTTGTTGAAGACCTATTCTACTCCGGATCTTCACGGGAAAACTATTCCTGCAATATGTACTGTAGACCCAATCTTATCTCTACCTTTGCGGCCATTATTCATATTTAAATTTTCATTCACTTGACCCAAATTTAATACCATTGATTCTGTATTCCCAAACAAAAAGTACTCGTAACAGACCAGAAATGTATAATATCGACTGATATTTCCATGCATTGAACCGTGCATAGTTTGAAACGTTATTATCTTCATTTAATTGGCAAAGTAAAGTACCAACAGATGTCTTCAATTAGTTGTATGTGAAAACCTCCCATGTAAATTTGCATGAAATAGAAATTATTGAAAATTAGAAGGACCCGCGTGGAGCAAATATAAAAATCATGTTATATTATATCAAAGTTTAAGAAATTTTACAATGTCCATGCTATGTAATTGGAAATGGTGTAATGGTAACCAAAATTACTTGAGCTTTCTTTTGATATAATGCGTAATATAAAATTTAAAGATTTTCGAAGCGTTCTATGGACCTTTTTCGTTTGGGTCCGAAAATGACGCTCGACGCGGATCGCGAAATCGCTTCGAGGGAACACCCACGAATATGATGATAACAGCTGGAGCATCCCCATATTTTCGATTCGATTTCATGTTCAGGACATGCAGGGGCTTCAGGTAAAAAGGTTTTGTTGGAAGGTGGGTCGATGGAGCGGGGCGGGGGTGCACGTGGACCTAAGTAGCCTATGGCCTGCAATACAAATACAGTAACGAATGTCACATGCATGATTCATCAGTGAGAAAAAGGGTATTTTTTCCCAAACCACGTCTTGTATTGCAGTGGGTTGTCGTCAGTGAGTGACGGACACCGCCTTGCCTCAAGAGAAACGTTGTCACTTCAGTATCTGCAATATCACTCAACGACATCATCAATCATTGATAAGCAGACGAGCCATACGTCACTGGGGAGAGTTAAATTAAAAACGATTTTTTAATATATTTTGATAACTGTAATATTTATTTACCCTCCCATGAAGAGGTCCGCCTGTCATATATACTTGAATGCAGCGAACCCCGTCAATAAGCAAAACCCCATATTCATGACTTTTACTGATGTTTAGTATTCATTCCATTAACGGAATATATAAGGTAAAACTCGTTTATATCATAGCGTTAAACCGAGAAAATACGTGAAACGCCCAAATAGCAAGATCGCTGTGTTTCTGGATACAGTAAAATCTTGTTCTTGCAGATCCAATTATTCTGGAAAACCCATCTTTCGGATGTCTGTGAGGTGGGGTTAAAGGTCACCTGTGTGTGTGCGTGCGTGCGTGCGTGCGTGCGTGGTGTGTGCGTGGTGTGTGTGTGTGTGTGTGTGTGTGTGTCTACTTGTACCAGTCCGGACTAATACCGGCTTTACAGTGCCAGCCCACTGAGATTCTGTACCGCATGGATGCTCCACTCAGACACATTGCACTGGCTCCAAGCCGACCAGTCCTTGGTTTATCACCTTATGCCGAGCGCTAGGCAGGGAAACAAGAAGCATCTTTAAATGCATTTTGGTATGAGGCTGACGGGATCGAACCACTGACGTTCCCCTCTCGGGCTCCATCCAGTATACCACAGCGATCATCTTAAGTCCATATTAAAGTATAATGTTAATGACGACCGTTCTAGGACTACAGGCCGCTTTGTCTATAAAAACCCAATGTTACACCTCTCTCATCATTTTAATTTTCCTAAGTGAAATCATTCGGTGTTTTCTTTTTGAAAAATCAAGATTTTGGCAAATAGTTTAGAATGTTTAAATCGTACCAAATATGTCTTAGTATCGTTAATCTCCAGTATCGCGAGATATATACAAAGAAAGGAAAACACCTAAAATTGGAGTTGACCAAAAAATTACAAGCGTTATGTTATAAGGCTTATAACAAACACCGCAAACCTAAGGACCCAAATACAACTATGATACCAGTATCAAATCCATCACTATCGAATTACCATTTATTGTTTGCTTCATTTTTACCCACCATTAAGCAAACTGCCGGACTTTCTTTTGCCCGGCCCGGCAGTTTCGTTGAATTCGATGTAGAGCTGTAGGTTCCGTCTCGATGACATTCTTATTGAGGCAGTGATCTATCATTGACTCTTCGCTTGTTGCGAAATATATTTTCACTGGTTCTAATGCCCCGTTTCACAAAGCGATCGCAGCGCAAAAACTGTCGAAGTCTACTTTAAAGAGCAGGTGTCAAGATGGTCGCAGCGCTACGGTTGCATTATGAACTGGCCCCGTGTGTGACGGTGTGATTCGTTGTGATTTATTGGACTATTGTAAGTCGTGATTCCAAGGACCGATTTCATTTTGAGAAGTACACTATACTTGATCAGATGGTAAAACAAATTCACCAAGGGCAAATAAAATTCAAATTTATGGGAAACTTGAGCACAAATCTTAAGTTGAAATATAACTGCTATGTATATTTTTTTTCTTGGTGAGTAAGCGACATTTTCATTAATTTTTATTTGACATCAGCAAAGAAGAAATACACGTTTGGTTTCACCTGTGGATGGTTGGTTGGTTTGTTGTTTAACGCCGCACTCAGCAATATTCCAGCTATATGACGGCGGTCTGTAAATAATCGAGTCAGGACCAGACAATCCAGTGATTGACATCATGAGCATCGATCCACGCAATTGGGATATTCGATGACATGCATCAACCAAGTCAGCGAGCCAGATCACCCGATCCCGTTAGTCGCCTTTTACGACAAGCATAGTCACCTTTTACGACAAGCATGGGTTGCTGAAGACCTATTCTACCCCGGAATCTTCACGGGTCGGTTTCACCTGTGAATGTGAAAAAATGTGTTTTTAATTTTTTTTAGCGAACGCCTGGTGTCATCACTGATTTTCAGTTATCCGTTCATATAATCTCGACCATTATTTTGCAGATAATCGAGACGGTTGTTCTCTGCAATTGACGTCTTAAATTAGTAATGAAGAAATTCCGGCCAATAAGAATAAAGTTGCTGTGGCTTAACAAAAAAAAGTAATTATAACGATATCTCATGATCATCAAATAATATAAACCATGAATCGAGTAAGTAACTCGATAATCATTGCCTGTACCCTATACGTCACACTTATTAAGCAGAGAAGGTCGTTGCACCTTGTGGTATTTATTTAAACTTCCTTAGTGATTAGGGAATAGTGAATACTACGTGCTTTGTATCTCACTAAATTAATGTTTTGTATCTTTCTAAAATAATGTTCTGTAACTTACTAAATTAATGTTTTGTAACTTACTGAATTAATGTTTTCTATCTTTCTAAAATAATGTTTTGTAACTTACTAAATTAATGTTTTGTAACTTACTGAATTAATAATTTGTATCTTTTAAAAAAAATGTTTTATAACTTACTAAATTAGTGTTTTGTAACTTACTAAATTTATTTTTTGTGACGTATTTAGGTTATGAGGGAACGTGTTTACGTGACGTGTTTAGGTGACAAACATAGATGTTGTGCGCTGGGGTTGTGCTTGGTTGACTTTGCTAAGGTGACGTGCTTGGACAGTGTATTCTGAGGTGACATGCTTTGATGGTATGATTAGGTGGCGTGCCTGGATGAGGTGATTGGACGATGTGATAAGGTACTGTGCTAAGGGTATGTTTGTTTCTTTGTTTGTGTGTTTGTTTGTTGTTTGACGCCGCACTCAGCAATATTCCAGCTATATGACGGCGGTCTGTAAGTAACTGATACTGGACCAGACAATCCAGTGATTGACATCATGAGCATCGATCCATGTAATTGGGATACGATGACATGCATCAACCAAGTCAGCGAGCCTCACCACCCGATCCCGTTAGTCGCCTCTTACGACAAGCATACTCGCTTTTTATGGCAAGCATGGGTTGCTGAAGACCTATTCTACCCCGGAACTAAACGGGTATGTATTTGGGTCATATATTGAGGTATATATTTCGGTCATATATTGAGGTAACATGCGCGGGGGACGAGATGGAGTGATGTATTTACGTGTATTTAAGATGACGTAGGTAGATGAAGGTTAAAATGAAGGGTTTTGCATGTGTACTCGTATAGTATCAACAACTAAGGTCCATATTCCCTTAAAAAGACAAATCTACCCCAAATCCACCGTGAACTCATAATAATGAGTTTCTATTAACGTTCAAGCCGCGAACTTGATATTTATAATTGAATAGTGTTCATTTAGAAGTAGCATAATTAATTACTCCATCATTGGGATAGGCACATCCGTCACCCCGTCTATCGGAGCGTTTATACATGTACGCATCACGATGGTGAACTTTCGAAAACAAGCTTACCCTTTCCCCTGTTTAGCGCCCTCCCTCGCGTTTCAGGCGAGGAAATGATTCCTTGTTGACGACAGAAACATTTTCGCCCTCGACAAACAAGTAACCAATCTTCTGAAGAATCTCTTACATTATACAGCCAAGGTGTACATTAAGTTATTCATGAATCAGTTTGAAAAAACTGTATCCCCGGTTGGCTAAACAGTACAATAAAATTGAAAAGAAGGGGTAACTGACGCCTTATTTTATTTACAAGCCGCTAGTCAGTTAGATCGCTGATTTGTTACCAGGCGGCGCACGTGACGTCACATCAAGGACACGAGTCTCCGAGTCGCCAATCAGCTGTCAGATTCGACAAACGATCTTCTACGGCGGTGACGTCACACAAGAAACCAGCCAGGAAATCACCCATTTCCATGTCTGTGATGGGTATAAATACGATGTTACTCTCACCAAGATCAGAATTCATAGGCATATATGAGAAAACTGTGTATTGCTCGTGAGAAAGGTTAAACCCAGTGAGTTCGCGTATAACTGTTTAAGTACTTTCGGTGAAATCGTGTGGCTGAAGTTTTATTTCGTCATGGCATTTCGAATTGTACTCGCTTGCTTAATCGTGGCCATGGCAACCGCTTCAACATCAGTGGGTAGTTGTGTGGTTAAAGGCAACCCCGACTTCAGACCAGATCCCGATGACTGTTCGGTCTACTATGTGTGCACCAATGAGATCCTGTACAAGTTCAACTGTGCAGACAGCGTGTTCGACCCCGAGACCAATTCATGCGTAGCCGAGGGATCCATCTACGATAGATGTAAGTACTATGTATTAAACTCTATATTCAGTGGGCGGTGGGGTAGACTAGTGGTTAAAGCGTTCGCTCGTCACCCGGGTTCGATTCCCCGCATGGTTAAGCTCATGTATGTATTTCCACCGCCCGGACGTTGCTGGAACCAGAGGCGTAAAACCATACTGACCCACTCTATTCGGAGGATTTATTACGGTTAAAAATATTCGATTCTATCTTCCTGAACTGAGATATGGGGGCAGTTGGGTAGTCCTGTGGTTAACGCGTAGCCTCGCAAAGCCGAAGACTCTGGTTTTATTCCCGAGTCCCCCGCCGATATATTGCTGGAATATTGCTAGGAGCGACGTAAAAGCATACTCACTCACTCTTTCTATTCCCAATGTGGGCCATCTACCAGAGGCAAGGGAGTTATCTGACTGTAAAAGCCCTGTTTCTACCCTTACCGAACCAGGCTGGAATTTCTGGGCTCGATCGTAGCGACAGAGTAGCTATTACGAGTTATGTCCCTTCTATGCCCCTCCTATTGACCAATCAGAGTCCACCTCTCATATCACATGAATTTGCTTCAAACAAAATGGCGGCGTCAAGTCAAGACGATCTGATCGATAATCAAAATCTTTATTGTCATAAAACTTAACGGGTCTTACTTCGCGAAGTGCATCAAATCACATGAGCACCTTGATTAAAAACATGAAAAGTTTTGGAAATAACCTGTTGATGCCGAGTTGGCGGTACACATGCTTTGCAAAAACTGCTAACGACCGAAATTTGTACGGCAGTTTACGAACCGGATGTCGATTTCGTTACGCGATTTTGATTGGACTATTCATATACTAGTCATTCCAGCCAAAATTCAATAATTCCAGCCTAGTTCGGCAAGGGTGGAAACTGGATTTTTGAGTCGTTACGAGGCTGAAACATCACTGACCTTAAAGTCACTCACTAAGCTGATTTGGCTGATACAGTTAGTTCAAATATGAATGTGTATTCTACGTTAATATTCGTCTCCTAGATATTGGTTTAAAATGCGCTTTATACCTTGCACGTACAAAAATGGTTGCCCTAGGAACTCTACCAATAATCATGTACAAAAACCGAACGACCAACAACTTTCTTCTCAAAGCCAAGATGCAATGTTCTCTGTAACTTCAAGCACAGCCAACCTGATGTTCATTTTTTCATCCCTCACGTCGATTCCGTGAAGGATAATCAGAACAAGACAGACACATGTTTTCTTTGCTCAAGCCGGCAGTATTTTGCATGTACTTTATAGGTAATATGACAGTCCGCCAACACAGACGTCGTTTACGCATGCAGCTGACGCCACTCAGCAATGATTTGTTCCAAATGTTCTCGTCAGCAAGGGGCGGTCGGGTAGCCTAGTGGTTAAAGCGTTCGCTCGTCACGCCGAAGACCCGGGTTCGATTCCGGATAAGGGTACAATGTGTGAAGCCCATTTCTGGTGTCCCCCGCCGTGATATTGCTGGATTATTGCTAAAAGCGGCGTAAAACCATACTCACTCACTCACATTTCGACACAGGTGTAGTTTATTGTGTCACGCGTTGGCTGGTCGTGGGCTTAAATAATGTTTGTCAAAGAAAGACCTCAAAAGCGTGTATTTGTGTATTCTTCGTGACGTTGGTTTGTTTTATTGTTGTTTTACGCCTCACCCAGGAATATTCCAGCTATATGACGGCGGTCTGTAAATAATCGAGCCTGGACCAGATGAGCCAGTGATTGATATAAGAGTATCGATCCACGCAATTGGGATCGATGACATACTTCAACCAAGTCAGCGAGCCTGGCCACCCGATCCCGTTAGTCGCCTCTTACGACAAGCAAAGTCGCCTTTTACCGCAAGCAGGTGTTGCTGAAGACCTATTCTACCCCGGATCTTCACGGGTCTTCTTCATGACGACATCAACGCATTGATATACGAGCAATACATTAAAAATGATAATTAGCAAATGATTTGAACGGTTTCAAACTAAGTAAATGGACTTCAAACTGATTTTGCAAAATAGAAGTACTTGCTTTTACAGACATATGGTAGACCGTGAACTGACATACCAACACAGTCCAAAACCTGTACTCCATGTTAGTCTGGAAATCCTGTTAATCTGGAAACCTTGTTAGTCCGCAACCTTGATAATCCAGAAACCTTGTTAATCCGGAAATTCGCCAATCCTTTTTCCATGTCATTTCTGAGACCTTCATAGTCCAGAACCCCATTAGTCCGGATTCCATGTCAGTCCAGATACCTCATTAAATTGGAAAACTCGCTGGACGATTGCTCTCTCTCTCTATTTATTCAGATATACTGAGGCATGTGTGCCTGTACGATAAACGCTCACCCCTTTGGATTATTAAAAAATTGAAATATTTGATTGAAATGATAATATTATTCGCCAGGTACCAAGGAAAACCCAGCAGAGACGGTCATCTGTCTGCCAGAGTCTAGTGCCGTGATCCCCCACCCAACCAACTGTGCCCAGTACTACAACTGCTCTGAGCCGAAGCAGGGGTACTTTTGGCCTGAGCATCTGAGGGAGTGCACCTTCCCCCAGCTCTACAACGTCATCACTAAACGATGCGAGCACTACACCATGGTGGAATGCGGTGAAAGAGTCGAACCCAAAAATCGCTGTGAGTATATCATTACCTATGACATTCATAGAGGAAGCTCTTTAATCTAGAACACGTTGATAGTGAGCGAACGAAGTAAGGATATTTAAGCCTTTGTTGGCCATAAACCAAATGTGTCAAAGCGTACAGTACATAATCACGTATGGATCAGGGAAACCAGTTTGAGCAACTCCCAACAGCGTCGGAAACTGACTGCCGATAGTTGGCCATACCAGGCGCCACCCTTCCAATGAAGGGTAGAAGGCGTGAAGCTCATTTCTGGTGTTGATATCTGATATGGCTTGAATTATGTTAACAGAGGCGTAAAACCCCTCACTCGTCGACTTTTACGATCAGCATGGGATACTTGAGCATATTCAGCCTGTGGAGGGTCTTGGTTAGAATAGGTGCCCATCAAGCTGACCCGTGAAGAATAGGTTTCAGCAACCAATGCTTGCCATAAAAGGCGACTATGCTTGTCGTGAGAGACGACTAACAGGATCGGGTGGTCAGGCTCGCTGACTTGGTTGATGCATGTCATCGTATCCCATGACGAATCGATGATGTCAATCACTAGATTGTCTGGTCTAGACTCGATTATTTACAGACCGCCGTCATATAGCTGGAATAGTGTTGAACGCGGCGTTAAACAACAACCAACCAACCCATCAAGCTATGCCGGTCGTATGAGGTTCGGTGACTTGGTTGGTAGGTGTCGTCGTACCCGACGACGTTGGTCGTTCCTCACAATCAGTCTTGTCTCGTCCACAATGGTTTACAACTCAAGGGTTTACAACCTTCTCTCTCTCTGACAGGCGACTACCGCGTGTACCAATGCGAGGTTGCTCACTGTAGACCCTGTAATGTGACCTACCCAACTTGCAAGGGTCTTCCCGACGGCTTGAACCACTGGGCTGAATGGTCGGCATGGGAAAACACCGCCAACTTTGTCGTGTGTGAGGATGGGCGGGTGGTGTATTCGGGTACGTGCAACCAGGAGAACGGACCACAGATCTTCGATAAAGTCAAGAGGATGTGCGTTGAGCAGACTGCTTGAAGAAATGAAGATTAAGAACTTGAACGGGGTCACGTGATGCTTTACTTTTGTGCCGATATCCAGAATTTCTTTTACACATTCCCGGACTTCTTCAGCCTAATCAATCAATTTGTGATGCATACTTGGGGCGATAGAGCAATCCAGAATTTGACAGTCAAGTTTCTTTCATGTGTTCAAGGAATCGGATGTAACTAACGCCGCGTCCTGAATAGGATTTCTAAGGTTTTCTGTTTGTACATGGGTAAATAAGTAAGTCACTACCATGAATACTGTTCTGTTGCCTAAAATATTTTGAAGTTCGTGAATAATTCTATATTCGTTACCAAGCTTGTATTTAACACTAAGTCTTGATGTATTGACCTGCCCGTCATTGAATGTGTACACACTTACCCTGTAAGTCTCATTGCGGGCGGTATAAACTCCCGGTTTATATTTGTTGTGAATATGTAATCGTTGTGATTATGAGCAATATGTTGTGTTGGAAGTGTTGAATAAATTGATGGCGAACCTCATCAATGGATTCAGGTTTAATACACGCTTTGATGATCCTGTCCCCTGATATGAGTTCACTGTATGGTGATTATTGTTTTTGATTGAATAAATCTTTCCACCAATTATTTCTTTTCTCAGTGTCTGTTAACCCATTACATTCTATGCTTTAGTGTTAGCGGAGTGATAAATGCATTTACAGATAAGCGGGTTAGATTCTCACGTATGCTGTGGAAAACATCTTCTTGTCCCTGCGACCCGTGAAGATCCGGGGTAGAATTGGTCTTCAGCAACCCATGCTTGGCGTAAAAGGTGACTATGCTTGTCGCAAGAGGCGACTAACGGGATCGGGTGGCCAGGCTCGCTGACTTGGTTGAAGCATGTCATCGATCCCAATTGCATGGATCGATGCTCATGATATTTATCACTGGATTGTCTGGTCCAGATTCGATTATTTACAGACCGCCGTCATAGCTGGACTATTGCTGGGTAATGCGTAAAGCAAAAAACAAACAAACGTCACGAAGAATACACACATACACGCGTGTCATCGCATCCCAATTGCGTGGATCGATGCTCATGATGTCAATCACTGGATTGTCTGGCCCCGAATCGATTGTTTAAAAAAGCAAACAAACAAACCCATCTTGTCCCTGCTGTGGCCAAGTACTCAGTAATAAACTAGTCAGTGGCGGCATAACACGATAGTTGTCGATATCATATGATGATGCATGAGCTTAGTGCACGCACTAGACTGACATTATCAGCCTCTGTTCTATTGCTTCGTCTACTGACGTCATAGACCGCCTCCGTGGTGTAGTGTTTAGAGCCTCTACCCATAGTGGAAGGACGATGGATCGATCCTCGACCGCGTCATACCAAAATACGTTAAAAGATAGTACTTGTTGTACAGATCGTCTCGGTCAGTATACTGTGTCTGAGTGGGGTATCTCGGTGGGCTAGCACTATAAACGGGCATCAGTCCGGACCCGTACAAGCAGCCACAAACACACACTCCTGACTTCTAAAAATTTGAAACACATGAAGATATGACTGAATGCGTGCGTGTGGTGCGTGCGTGCGTGTGGTGCGTGCGTGCGTGTGGTGCGTGCGTGCGTGCGTGCGTGCGTGCGTGCGTGTGTACTAGGCTGTTAACAACACACGGAGAGTTAATATGTCCCTGCACATGAACACATCTGCCCTGGGGCACGATGACACGCAATCCTAATACATACCAGAAACTCCAGTAAATACCGGACCGCATCCATGGTCTTGTGGAGAGAGTGACTTCCCTGGGAGCGGAAGCTTGGTGATGTGATCCCCGGCCGCGTCATCCCAAAAGACCTAAAAAATTATGGTTACTTTATGGGGCAACTGCTTCAACCTAGGGATCCAAATATTTCGACTTTTTCACAAAGATATTTAAACAAATGATTTGATTTAGGTATTCCTGATTTGGCGTTATATAACATTCTTGTATTACCCATTAAAATATTTCTACTTGAAACAACTATCAAACCTTATTCTTATCCTCATATCCATCGTTTATAAACATTAATACATATGTTTCATTTATTATACGACAAATTATTCCATACAAGTCGTCCTATCCATATTTTACAAAGTCTTAATACATACCTGAAATAACAGATAACCACATGCACATTTCCCATTTCTAAATATACTCGGGAATTTCAATCCTCCATTTAAAGAAGGAGAGGTATTACATGAGTACCTCAAGCTTTTTATTTGCTTGTTGTTTAACGCCGCACTCAGCAATATTCCAACTATATGACGGCGGTCTGTAAAATAATCGAGTCTGGACAAGACAATCCAGTGATGACATCATGAGCATCGATCCACGCAATTGAGATCGATGACCTGTATCAACCAAGTCAGCGAGCCTGACCACCCGATCCCGTTAGTCGCCTTTTACGACAAGCATAGTCGCCTTTCGCGGCAAGTATGGGTTGCTGTTCTACCCCGGAATCTTCACGGGTCCAAAAGAGAAGTATAATAGTTGGTGATTTTATTGAAAAAAAGTGGGAGGAACACTATTTCTTATTTTGGTACCATGAACACACACACACACACACACACACACACACACACACACACACACACACACACACACACACACACACATCTATATATAAAAGCTTCTCATCAGTAGAAGTCCACAATTATTTCAGACGGAAAGACACATATAAGTTTAATTATCGTACTTTAATGTGTCACTAATGTAACTTTACTCAACAACAAAAGTTCCTGTGACACTAATATTTTAGTGTATTTTTCAAACAAGTAAAGTTTGGTTTTCAATATTTTAGTACATGTATGGAATCAAGTCACAAAAACGCAACTGCTACAGAAAAGCATGCATTCCATGCAAAAGTTGACTTTTATGCAAGCCCCATGCATTTCACTACCAAGGAATGGGTATAAAAACATGTGCGTAAACGGGATTCCATATGCATTGTTTAGCCTCGTGCTGACAACAACCACTCAGAAAAACAACAAAACTACGCAATTATTCAACATTACGAAATGCCACGCCTGTCCGAAAATGAGCGTCTGTGAGCCATTGGTATGCTTGAAGCACTATCGAGTCAACGTGATGTTGCAAGACAATTTAATGTCCACAGAAACACCATTTGGTGTTTATGGCAACGTTGGCAACAGACGAAACAGTTGACAGCAGTCAGAGACCATCCTCGGAGTGGCAGGCCACGCGTAACCAATAATAGACAAGACAACTGGATTCGAACAACACACCTACGAAATCGATTCCAGCCAGCAACAGTGACTGCAAGAAGCATCCCTGGCCTTCGACGAATATCTTCACAAACCCTTCGTCGTCGCCTCAGATGTGCAGGGATTGTCGCCAGAAGACCCGCCAGACGTCCCATTTTGACAGGAAACCACCGTCAGTTGTGCAGACAGCGTCTACGCTGGACGACCATGCAGTGGGGTCAAGTTCTATTCACTGACGAGTCTCGTTTTCACCTCAGCCACAGCGATGGACGGATTCGAGTGTACCGACGTCGAGGTGAACGTTGCGTCAATCATTGTGTCATGGAAGAAGATCGGTTCTGGGGCGGCATCGTTATGGTATGGGGTGGGATTACAGCAAGACAGAGGACCCGTTAAATAGTGGTAGAGGGAAATCTCCATGGACAGCGCTACCGCGACGAGATAATCGGCCCTGTTGTTCTACCGTTTTTGCGTCGTCATGGCCCAGGCATTACCTTTCAACATGACAACGCCCGGCCTCATATTGCTCGACTTGTTCAGGATTCCCTTCAACAGAACAACATGAATGTCATCCCATGGCCGGCTCGCTTCCCTGATCTCTCACCAATCGAGCATATGTGGGGTGAGCTGGATTGGCGCCTTCGACGTCAACCACGTGTTCCACAGACACTCCAGGAACTTCGAAACATGCTCCAGCAGATATGGACAGATATCCCCCAGGACTTTGTGCGACGCCTGGTCCATTCAATGAGACGAAGATGTGTTGCTTGCATCGCAACCAGAGGTGGACGCACACGCTATTGATTTGTAAATTGACATGTTTTTTTTTAATGGAATCACGCATTTTCTGAAGTCAGTATGGCAAATTAAACCATTTGAACACTTACAGGAGTATTTTATCTGTTGCCAACCGAAATTGTTTCAGATTTGGAAAAAAACATAACTTTGCCTTAAATTTTATTGAATGTCACAGGAACTTTTGTTGTTTAGTATATAAGCTTATAATTATCACAGATGTTGGGGACTTCATACCTGAGACGCCTCCTATAAACCTGTGGTTGAGGTGAAAATGGGTTTAACGTCGCTTTAAAAATTGCTTCACTTACATAGCGACATTGTGTCTGTGCGCCGAAGGCCAGGCAGGGTAACAACAATTACCATCTTTCAACATCTTTTGGTAAATCTCAATTTATTTTAATTTTGTTGTTAATAACGTAATACCTGTCATGGCTCATGATTGGCAATCTCACTTTGAACGTATTTCACCAATAAAGTGATTTTTACATAGTTTCATTCAGAATAAACTGACGTCCAAAAGAAACTTTACCAACTGAAAATATAAATTTCAGACAAAGTATATATTTTTTTACGATGAAGTCTATCTAAAACACATAACCTAAATACAACAATAGTGTATGCAGAAAATGTTAATCGTCTGTTACATGTTTGCGAGATAACACGCAAAAAAGTGAAAAACACGTGCACCACGGACAACTGCAAATGCACGTGCGGGTAAGTGTATAAAACAATTGCAACGTCAAGTCAGACATCCACAGTGATATAAAAACACAAAAGAAATGCCACGACTCACAGTCGAACAACGTGAACGAGCCTTGGGTATGGTACAGATGGGAGCCACCCACGCCCATATTGCACGAACCTTCGGTTGCTCCCGTGTTGCCGTTACCAACTTGATGCAACGTTACAGACAGACAGGGCGGACCGCTGACAGGCCAAGAACAGGCAGACCCGGGGTGACCACGCCCCATGATGACCGGTACTTGCGTACCTTGCACCTCCGAAATCGCTTCCTGACAGTGACGTCATCTGCGACAAATGCCTTAGGTCACAGGGTTAGTCGACAGACAGTGGCCAGCAGACTCAGGGCTCATGGAATCAGGGCTTTTAGACCATACAGAGGACAGCTATTGACAGCGCAACATCGTCGTCTGCGATTGAGATGGACCCGGACTGTACGACGTTGGCAACGACGTGACTGGCAGAGGGTTGTCTTCACTAACGAAAGTCGATTCTGTATGTTTAGGGCTGATGGAAGACAACGTGTTTACCGCCGAGGGGTGAACGAACGGCGGCGTGCTGCGTGCAGGAGCTTGTACCATATGGTGGAGGGAGTGTCATGGTGTGGGGAGGGATCTGTGGGCAGGAGAGGACACCGCTGGTCATCGTTGACGGCTCAGCGTTACATGGATAACATTCTTCGTCCAGTTGTCCTACCATTTCTCAAACAGCAGCCACGTGGTGTCATTTATCAGCATGACAACGCTAGAGCCCATACAGCCAGAATTGTCACTAACTTCCTCGCAGCCAACAACGTCAACGGCCTGCCGTGGCCTGCACGCTCACCCGACATGCC